GTAAACACAATGGATGACAAAAGACAAAAAATTCACTGGGGCATGATAATGTTTCTCAACATTAACACAGTAAGGCCAAAGGAGGATATTCTTAGGAGAGGATCACAAAGGCTCAATAGGTATGTGCATATAATCATATAATTAATATTTATCTAAAGGAACTCCAAGAAATGGAAATGAGAGGTTTTTTCTTCTTTAATGTTTTTTCTGTTTTCTTTCTCTTTTGCCTTGTTTGTAAGATGATCTGTCTTTGGGAAAGTTAAGGAGGGGCACAGAAATGATGGGACAAAGGGTAAACAAGTGCAGCAGTGGTATTCTGTAGACACTGTGTTGAAAATGAACTATATAACTTGTGAGTGGGGATGGGGTGAAAAATTGTGAGAGCAAGGGAAGGGGTGACAGTATTCAAAAAGAAATGTACTCATGGTAGAGGGAAAACAAAGGAGGAGGCAACAATACTCAATAGGAAATGTACTCATTACCTTGCTCATGTAACTGTAACCCCTCTGTACAGCATTTTTACAATAAAAATGCACAAAAATGTACTCATTACCTGATTTACATAACTGGAACTCCTTTGCAATAACTATAACTATATAAAATATACAACTATAACATATAACTATATAATATGTAAGTATATATAAAACTATAACTATATATAACTATATATCTGAGAGAGCAAAGGAAGAGGTTACATTTGTCCAAAAATGAAGGAAATTACTGCCTAACTTATGGAATGGTAACATCAATGTATATCACCTTAATAATAACAATAGAAGAAATTTTAAATAAAAAAATTATCTGTGGTTTTCATTCAGTACAAAGAGGTGATGGGTAGCACTGATATCTCCAGTGGACCATGTTAGGCATGGCTTTTCTCTTGGTTCCATTGTATGCTCTGCTCTTCCAGAATTTGAATGGATTCTTGAAGCCAGGAGGGAGATGCAGAATAGGCCAAAGAGAGATAGAATGTAGATTTAGCTGAAAGGTCAAGGAGACCTTTCAATGGGAAGTGACTCCATGTACTTCCCTGGAGGATTGGGTTCCTCTGCTCCATGTTCCTCATGTCCCTCTTGTTCCACTCAACACTCAAAATATGGCATCATCACTGCTGTTTCCTTGATTGTCTCTACCAACCCACTAGGTGGAATGCTTCTCTAGAGTAGCACTCATGACATACATGCTCATCAATTTCTTCTCCAAGCCTGGCATGTGGTGAATGTTGAGGATTTAGTAAAAAGCAAATGCTATAAAGGATAGAATCTGGTGAAAATCTGAACTTCTTAGTTGGCCATCCATGTTTGAATGTGTGGGATTGATCATTTACCTCTAGCCCCACAGAGGAGGAGTTAGCCAGAAGCTTTCTGGGAGTAATAGAGACAGACAGGTGGTGGTGGGAAAAACAGTGAAGCATATGGGCAGAAAAGCAGGGATGAGGGATGGAGACCATGGCCTGGATTGCTCAGTCGTCCAGTGTGTGGCTAAAACTACACTACATCTATGCCCTTAGGTTTCCTGGGACTTTCTGTGTCCGGATCATATCCCCTTTTTTATGTATGCTAAAGATGTGATTTTAACTAAGAGTCCTAAAAAAACACATCAAATCCGTTTGGGAACAAGGCAAATAATTCCTAAAAATTTTCCCTTTCCAATGTTGTTAAATACATACATCATTGTCAGTAATACCAACCAGCCTTAGAATAATATCAATATTTGGATCTTAGACCCCTGTCAATCTGGCATCCAAGTGGGGCCCACATGGAGCACTGTGGAGCACTGCGGAAGTCCCCATTCCAACTCCATGATTAGGGGCCCTTAGGAAGATGTTAACATAAAATTGCATTCCTAAAATTAGGGAAGAGAAAAGCAGTCTGTTAAGTAGACAGGGGATCTAGGATTGAAGAACATGAGCGAGATGTTAGACATGATTTAGGTGATTATATAGAGTATCAGTTAACACAGATGCTAATGGGAAGACAGAATGGACTGCTGAGAAGCAGGAGAATGCCTATTATTAGGAGGGAAAAAAGGAATGAAAAGGTAACATTGATTAAGATGCATTGTATTAAACTAGCTCTTTGTGAATTTATAGATGCATCCCCAGTTACAGACCTGTGGGTGCTGGTAGCTTTGGACCTAGATGGCATGTATGGCTTGGCAATTTTCTCATGAGGGTGTGAACATTGAACTCTGTTCTTTGTGCATTGCCCAGCTCTGTGCTCTTCGGTTAAAGATGCACTCTCTCTCTCTCTCTCTCTCTCTCTCTCTCTCTCTCTGTAAGCCAGGGTGTTTCAGCCCTCTGTAGTAGTCAAATGCTTTTCAGATTCAAAGGAAGCTAGGGATACAAAGTGAAAAAGACTAGACTAGAAGTAGAGCTCACAGGGAGAGTGCAGTGGGGGAGGATTTGCCTCCATCCTCGTCTCCACTTGCAGGTGTCCTTGTCTTGCTGCACTTTGTGGATAGGCATGGAGAGCAGCTGGGGGCCCAGGTGATATCAGTGGACCCTGTCTTGGACCAGCTGCAATAGCTGGGCATGGTGTCATGTAGCTGTCATCCCAGGTATATAGGGGATATGTAATGATAGTAAGTAGGGTATCATAGTCTAGGA